GACAAGATTATAGATATTTTCATTTTAACTTATTTTTAAGAGTAAACTCTATAATTGGTCCTTTATAACAGGGGAGTTTCCCTATTTAGTCCTCTATTATCAAATATTACCCAAGTGGTCCTTCTTTTGTGGGTACTTTCCACAAATAGTCCTTTTTTGATCTTCTATCATGTTGGTGTTAATTTGAGGGCTAAAAGTGTAATTTTACAATGATAATATATCTTTTTTGTCATGCACAATTCCAAAGGCTGTTCCGTTTGCGTCGTTTGTGAATTACAGTCGCTTTTTACGACAACTATAGTCTACAAATGTGATCTTTCGTCAGAATCCTAGCCCATAATCATAGTCATTATTTTTGTGTTATCCGCTTAACCAATATCAGAACACGTCACTAGACATAATGCTGACGTCAAGTTATACTTTTAGCCTTTAAATTAACACCAACACGGTAGAAGATATAAAAAGGACCATTTGTGGAAAGGTACCCTTAAAAAAGGACTACGGGGTAATATTTGATAATAGAAGACTAAATATGGAAACCCGCCCTGTTATAAAGGACTAATTATGGAATTTACTCTATTTTTAATTAAAATTTAAGATCTCTTATCTACAGTAGTAATTAGAGCGTGGTTCTTTAAATATAAAGTCTGAATGCATTAAAAAATCTAGCTAAAATCTGACTACTAGAGTTTAGAGTCTCGTAACTAGAAATTAGAATTTCAAAATAAGAGTCACGAAAGTGAGTTCTGAAGTTTGAAAACTATAGTCTATATCTAACGTTTGAATAATTGTAATACTGTGCTATAAAATCAAAAAGCATGTTTTACTCTAATATATGTTATCATGAATAATTTAAAATATTTACTCCTTTCTATCTAAAATGATATTCCTAATTCGATTTACGAGGCTTGGTTGAAATTATCTTCAATTCAATTTATTTGATTATAGGTGTAAAATTAAAAAAATAAAAATTATATATTTTAAAACTATATTAAAAGTTTACAAAACAAGAGATTACAAGACTATCTCATTCATCAAATAACTAACGACAAGAGTAAAAAAAAAAGGGATAAAAATTTGACATGTGAACAGTGTCTGGATGATTATTTTAGGAAGGAGGGAGTGCCATTTGAATAGTAAATAGGGTTATGCTACACTTACACCACAAATTGTACTCCATTTGTACACCGCAGTTATACACAAATATTTTGATGGTTTACACCGACATAAGTGTTGGTGTATTAACAAAAATTTACACGTGATGGATATAATCCACTAGCACCAACCCCGGTATACTGACCGGGTAGATGTGCAGGTCAGACATGTGAGATCGTGACTTCATTCGCAGAGAAGGCTGGAAGACCACCCGGGTGGATGACCTGAAGCCTACCCGGGGTGGATGACCTGAAGCCTACCTGGGTGGATGACCTGAAGACTGCCCGGGGTGGATGGCTGGAAGACCACCCGGGTGGATGACCTGAAGACTGCCCGGGATGGATGGCTGGAAGACCACCCGGGGTGGATGACCTGAAGACTACCCGGGGTGGATGGCTGGAAGACCACCCGGGTGGATGACCTGAAGCCTACCCAGGGTGCCGGGGTGGATGACCTGAAGCCTACCCGGGGTGGATGACCTGAAGACTGACCGGCCGAAAGAACAGTAACGTCGGGACGTGCTTGACATGCTTGTTTTTATTATAAATACCCCTAAAAGCCTCATTTGTGAGACATGCTTTAATTAATCCACACGGCTTGTACTTTGTAATAGTTCCTATTATCATTAATAACAAACCGGGTTACAGGTGTTTCCACCTACAACCCTTCTGCTTTTTGTGACTTAGTTCTCACGTTGGTTTTACACCATCAACACAGACAAAAAGTGTTGGTGCATTAATAAAAATTAGTTTTAGACCAATACAAAGTATTGGTGCAAAGATACGGGGTACAAAGTAAGGTACAAAACATGGGTAAAAATAGCTTTACCCTAATAAATATGTTGTGGCGAGGACGACGGGATCCACCCCCTCTAGCCTTCGTTTTTTGTGCCAAAGTTGGGTATTTCATGACCCTTTCGGTGGTCTTGGTTCATAAAAGTGGGGATCCACCGAAGGGGAATATGAGGGCAATTCGGCAACTGTCCCAGTAAAAAAAAATTAGTTAATTAAAATATACTCGTAATAAGTTTGAATAATTTAGTTTAAATTAGTTTTAAAAAATGGTTACATGTTTTTTAAAAGTTTGTACGTCGGCTCCTTCAGTAAAAAAATTACCCCCAATTTTATAAAAAAAGTTTAAAAGTAAATCAAGTATAAAGATAAAATATTTTAAATATAATACTCCGTAGTTATATTGTATATTATTTTTTCTATTTTAAAAATATTTATTTTATTTATTTGAATATTTATTTGAAAATAAATTTACTCATTTTTCATCATTATAAATAGTCTTTAAAAAATGGGGGACTCTATCCGGAATTGAGTCCTCCACTTGTGTTTCACAGCTAGGGAACCCCAACATTGACACTAAATGCAAACCAAGACAAATATAGACACACACAAACATTAAATTCTAGTTCTAGAATTGGGACATTGGGTTAGTGGGGTTATTGTTTTACATTAATGAGAGTAATTAACCTGCACGTAATGAATGGGGTTAATGTTTGACGCCACTAAACAAAGCAGAAGAAGAGACAAGATGAAGAAAAAAAGTTCAATTAATGGAAATGGGAAGAGGTAAAGGGAGTAAGACAAAAAGGCGAGTTTTACCAAAGAAGGAACTAAGAAAAGTGTAGAAAATGGCTTCTCACCGGCCCACACCCACTTCAAGTGGGTTTTTAGGGAAATTTCATTAATGGACTATGTGAACTAGGTTATTTTGAGTAGGTTGTTGTTCTTGTTGTTAGATTTATTTCAATTTTTATTACATTAAGGTATTTAAAAACATGAATATATAGATTCATTCATACCACATTCGTCCCTAAGTACTTGTGCATTTTTTATTTTTTTGCAGTCAACCATTATTCACTTTTGACCTATAATTAAATAAATTATATATTGTATATTAATCAGATAAAATAATATTTTGAAAAATTTCTATAAATTAAATTTAATAAAATTATTTTCGTATCAATATCTATGATCACTTTTATTTAATTTGAGATTAAAATTTGTTAAATCTGATTGAAAAAGTTTAAATAGACAATTACTCAGAACTACGGAGAGTACTCAGATGAAAATAGAAGTTAAGATAACCATTTGGGACAAGTTTGCTTTTTTCCCCTTTATTTATACATTATCTTTTGCATCATCTTTCTACATCATGTATATTTTGATAACTCACATTCCATACGGAGTATTATTCAAGCATATACATCATTCTATATACTCTTTTCATCATAAAATGTTTAATTTAGTATTTTATGCAAAATGTAGTTAAATTTTAACTTTTTAATTTATAGAAAACCAAATACTCTGTGATTCAACCATATCAAGGTGGCTCTCTTAAATTGGAGGTCACGATTTCTTACACCTTTAGTAAAATTAATGTGCTAGAAATATTGTTTCAGTTACTATTGCATTGTCCCGATAATTTTTGGATAACTATTTTTTATCAATTATTTGATAAAGCTAAGTATACTCCATAATATTAATGTTACATTTTTTTTTTTTAGAACTTTTGATATAGTTCTAAAAATTTTAAATTTTAATTTATTACTTTTATTGCAATTTATTAATAAAATAATTTGAAAAAAAATAATATTATGTACGTTATTCAAAGAGAGAGTAAATATTTTTAGAGTAAATTTTATAATGGGCTCTTTATAACATGAAATTTTCATATTTAATCCTCTAATATCAAATATTACGTACGTGATCCTTCTTTTATGAGCACATTTTCATGGATAGTCCTACTTTGACCTTGTGTCATGTTGGTGTTAATATGAAGGTGAAAAGTATAATTTTACATTAACCCAATATCGAGTGACATATTCTAGTATCGGCTTGATGAAAAATACAATAATACTTTGTAACAAATGTAGTCGTGGACTATGATTCAAACTAAACTCGACATTTGTTGACTCTTGTTATAGCAGACAGCAACTCCATTGACAAATGATGCATAAACAACGAACTCTAACATTATCTATGACAGTCAAGGTATATATATTTTTTGATAGTACAAGTAAGATATATGATTACTCCGTATTATTTTTAGCTCTTAAATTAATAACATCGCAGAAAGTTTTAAAAAACTATCTATGAAAAGATACAATATAAAAACAAATCACATTTAATAATAGAAAACTAAATATGAAAAGTTATCAATTTTAAAATATAATTTATTTATTTGAAAAAGATGAGCCCCATCCCCAAGGACTTTTAAACCCTGATGGCCACTGTGAGTATGTAAATTAAACTTTATTGAAGATTGATGGTAAAGAATGAAGCTTGCACCGAGTACTTGCAGAGGCATTATGTTTATTCTCCCAACACTGTTGTCAAGAATCAAACTCAATCTTATCCCTTAGCACTCCTTGTCTCACCAACTCTTTAACACCCACGCACTAAGTTATTTTTTCAAAAATGCTAGGGGTACACCATTTGGGGTATCCCATTTGTACCCTCTCCATCTCCACCACACAAAGCAAGAGAGGGAAAAAAAATTAAAAATAAAAAAATAAATGAAGGACTAGGTTGCATGGTGTACAAAATGGGGTACCCCAAATGGAGTACTCCTAGCATTCCTCTCATTTTTTTGAGAGAGGACTAGTGGTGTACATTTTATTTTAGCATGGTCCACCTTTTTAACCCTCCAAAACAAAATTCCTCAATCCCAATACTCCCTTCCATCACATCACACCCCACCCCATCCCCACTCCTCCCTCCACCCAAGAACACTGTACCCACATTTTCTTTTTGGCTTTTCTCCCTCCTCTTCAATCCCGGCGATATATACAAGTAGTTGGAATGTCGGATTCTTGCTGAGAACCCCAGAAAAGAAAAAAGATCTCTCCTTTTTTTCCTTCTTTAAATCTCAATTCCTGTTTTCAAATCTTGGGGTTCTGCTAGCCGCCCCCGCCGCTGCTAGCAATGGGTTCTTGCGCCCGGAAGAAAGAGTCAACCGGCGACGGCGGCCGGAGTGTCCGGCCGCACAGTGACCAAGATGCCCCCTTTCCCTCTGTAAATCCAGGGTCTTTTTCGGATTTTCTCAGCTGGTTGGAGGACAATCCAATGTAGCTCCATCTTTCTCTTCTATTGGCAATGGTGTTGGTGGTCAAAAGGCAGACAGGATGAAGCCAGGCATAATATTTAAGGACTAGTATTATTATTTATTTATCTTATGCTGTTTTCTTTTTTTAAACCTTTATTTCGTTTGGTATCTTTATAATCTATATACAGCTTTTTTTAGCTGATGGTAAAAAGATAAACTTTGTCCCAAGTATCTGTCTTTCTTTTTCCCTTGTTTTTTTCTCTTCTGCAAAAAAAGATAAACTTTGTCCCAAGAACACCAAACAACAAGAAGAGAAACAGAAATTAAACTCTCATTTGAGATTTCTGACCAAAAAATGGAGAAAATGTTGACATCAATTTCTGAGTTTAAATAGTGAATGACATTATTACATCTGCGAAGAACAAGACGCCAGATTTGGTATTTGATAAATTTAACTGCTGTTTTTGGGTCTTAAATTCTGATGCATTTAATTTTCTTTAATATATGGATCTATGGATCTCTCATCTTCTTGAATGTCTGCCCCAGTTTATTTGATGAAGAATAAACAAACTATCAAAATTTCATCTATTTTAATTGGAAAAAATAAATCTTGATAAATACCCAGTAATATTTTGAGACCCAGAAATTATTTCTCCCATTGTAACCTTTAGATTATGTGATTGGGTGTTTGTTTTAAGCACAGTCCCGTGAAGTGTCTGTTGGAAGGGTGTCTTGTTTTACGAAATTAATGTCAGATAAGTTTGAATTTTTTTTATGTGTATGTGTGGTGGATACACTGTGGTCTACATGGGAGACTATTTGGTGTTTGGGATTTGGATGCAGCTGCCAAACATGTCCTAACCAGAACTGGCACAAGACTGTGTGGTGTTTGGTGGAGCTGATCAAACGGTCAGAATGAAATATCAAATATAAACAAAAACTCCTCCAAAATAGAGCTATTGTGACCCTTAGATTTCAGTATGGTTTGGAATATGGCTTTCAATTAGTGTGTTTATGAATAAGGATGTGTTTGGTGAATCAAAATGGGAAAGAAAATGGAATTCACAATGGCATTGATCAGCCAACTGACTGCACTTCAGTCAGTGTGAAAAGACCCATAATCACAAAGAATGTGAAAACTATAGGGTTAGCGTCAAAGAGTTGATATCCGAGTTCGATTCATGACAACTATACTGAGAGACAAATATGTTCAACACAGAGTTTCTGCAAGTGTCAGGTCTAGACTATATTTCTTTGTTACTAATATAAAAATAAAATCCAATTTACCTCTTCTCTGGTGACTGTTTAACTGGGTTTTTTTTTGAAAACTATAGGGTTGGGTTGGTGCCTATGTACCTTAAAAATGTTTACCCACCAAAAGTGGGTGGGTCTGGTAATGGTCACCACTCATTATTTTTATCACAAATTTGGTGCTGTAATATCCACCCACTCGTGTCTCTTGTGGTGGTGAACGAGGTTGTCCCTCACATCTTAGGAGCCATTTTACTTTCACCATGAGAAGTTGGTTAGGTAAATTCTGCATATCATCATACCAAAGCAATACCAAATGTTACATTTGTTTTTTATTCTGAAAACAATAAGATATTGATTTTAGAATCTGGTACAGAGTATTAAAGAGCAATTAAGTGTTTGATTCTTCAAATTGGATTAGTTTCGAAACAATTAGTTATGGTAATTAAAATTGCCAAAAATAGAATTGCAACCAAATGAGCATTTGAGATAGAGTTTCTATAGGATTTGCATTTGTGACTTTAAATGTTGCTTGTTTCCTTTTTTATGACATCGTACCGAAAACAGTATGTTTTTTTTAACGTCAATATAATAATCAACGTTGAATCGGAACAGTGTCAGAAGAGAGATAATCCCGACACAATTTGTTGGTTTGCCATTTGGCGGCCGCCGAAGCTGGAGAATGAGAAATGCAATTACAACTTACAAGTGTGTAGAACAAAATTTAAAAAACCCCGAGAAGAAACTTCCATTCAGAAACAATGGGGTCATAGTATGCTTTAAAATAACATTAACACAAGAGTTTGTTAATTACTCCGAAATTCATTTCAAAGTATTCATTTTTGTATCTCCAAGATTACTTGTCCATTATTTATTATACTAAAATATTTTTAAAATACTACGAGTAGCATATTATTATTATTCTATATACTCATTTAAAAGACTTTGCGGAGTATTTGACATTTAATTTTTACTCTTTTTAAATAAGATATTTTAGAAAATGTACAATTAAATCAACCTGATGCCATCTCTGGCCTCTGTTGGAAAAGGCTATTCAAAACTGAATTGTTACACATTTGACCGGCTATGTTGGGTAGTGGAAAAAAACAAATCATGGATGTCGCCATTTGACCGAGTTTGTCGTTCAAAACTTTGTTAATCACCCATTCCAAATTACGGATTATATCTAATAAAAAAACTTTTTTTGATAAGAGTAAGAAATCATGAAAATGTCAAAATAAGACTTCTCAAATCTTTAATTAAGAATAAATGAGTATAATGTAGGGTGATACAAGAGTACGAGTTAGTATTGTGATGTGATAAAAAATGATGAGAGTATAATATGATAGTATGATCATTCAACCGTCGGCGATCAGCAACGATACTCTAGTGGACAGCAACGACAGATGTCAATGTGACATTGATAGCGTGTTAGTTGTAATGTGATAATGCGGTAATTGTGACAATGGTGTGAACTTTTAATTTGGTCTTGAAAGATTTAAGACTCCTATTGTAATGTTTTAATAATTTTTTTCCCTTGTCGAGGGAGTTTCCATATCTAATTATTATTCCTTTCGATACAATTAGTAATCAAGGGCTTAGGAGTTCAAACGCTTCCTGTCATTTAGATAGAAAAGGGAGAACTCGCTAGCTAGATAAGAGTAAAAAGTTACTCCCTTCGTCCCAATTTAAATCGTCTGTTTTGATTTTTGGGCATATTTAAGGAAAATAAAAAATAGAGTTGATTTTCCGAAATTGCCATTACTTTTTAGAAGGGGTGATGATGAATGAGAAGATAAGGTGAAGAAGAATGACTTATTTTAGGGGTAGTTTAGGTATTTTATTTTTAAAAGTTTACGAAAACAACTAACATGCAACTTATTTTGGGATGAAGAAAAAAGGCAAACATGCAATTTAAAATGGGACGGAGGGAGTATAAAATACTAAAAAAAAGAGTGATAAGTCTTTTAAGACCAAAATATAAGTTCACATTGCCATTGTTACACTGCAACATTCACCACATTGTAAATGCCACAAGTAAAATATAATCGCCACACTGTCATCTGTCACTCCCAACCATCAGAGTGGCGTCGCGGATGGCTGACGAGTGATTGATCACACTGATATATTACATTGTCATCACTTTTTCATCACACTTCCAACACATATTTTTACATTGCACTAACATTATATTCTTATTTTGATTTTAAAAGAATTATGACTTCTATTTTGATATTTTCATATCCTTTTACTTCTATCTAGGAAGATTTCTTTTTTATAAAAATGTCAAGAGAAAAAACTAAAATAGGAGTAGAAGTATAGAACAATGAGAGAGTACTAAATAGGAGCTCTATATTTTTTATTCTCAAAATAAGAGTATAATGACAATAATGCCAATTTATATTACGAAGAAATAAAACGAGATGTCACTATACAATGTTAAAATATCACATTGTGAACTATTATTTTCTTTTTTAAACTTCATAAGATTTTTTTCTTTTTATTCTAGAAAACAAAAAATTGGAAATATTTAATTTGAGATTGATGGAATATTTTTAATTTTTTTAGTTTTGTCCATTTTTTATTTCAAACAAAAAAATTTACAAAAAATTTAAAACCCTTTTTTTTTAAAGAAAACAACGAGAAGCAAAAAAGAAGATAAAAAAGGGAAACCCCAAAAAAAAAAGAAAAAAGAAAAATGGGAAATGAACTATGTTGCCTCATGTTGTTTGAAAATACTACTTCCGTCCCAGAATATTTGTCCAGTTTTGAATTTTTTCAATCAACTATTTTTCAACATTTGACCTATAATTAAATAAAATATATATTGTATTTTAGTTAAATAAAATAATATTTTGAATATACTTGATATAATAAATCTAATAAAACTCTTTTTGTATCAATACCTAATACCATTTTTATTTAATTTGAGCTCAAAATTTACCAATTTTGACCAAAAAAATTAAAAGTGAAAAAATACTCATGAACGGAAAAAATAGGTACCAATACCCCACATAAAATGATTGGAAAATAGTCAAAAAATGATCATTGGCTTTCTGTGTGGAATGTTTTGAAACCATGACAATTTTTTAAATAAATTTTGAAAACATGAGTATCGATACTCATTTCCTGAACCACAAGGGTTACCAGAACTATTAGGCCATTAATTTTAGTGATAAAATAAAACAATCTAACTCAGCTCTTTTAAAAAATTGAAATAATTTTTGAATATTTAAACCAAAACGAAAACTCTGCAATCTTCACAAAAGTCGTAGGTCAAATGTGAGATGACTACATCAAATAGACAAATACGCTAAAACAATGTGTTTCTGGTCTAATTGTGCTGCAAAGTTTACATTATACAATCACAATACGAGATCGAATTGTTAATGATGTGTACAATCACTATTTATAGAAAATCATACATAATAAACTACCCTTATTAAACTCCAAAACACATTCCATTGAAGGTTCAAGTTGTCCATCAATTCTTTCAACCTCACAAGATCATAGTTTCGCGACAATATCGAATAATGTTTTACAAAAAACGCGACATCACTGATTTTTCAACACGCGAAATGTAATGTAACTAATGTCATCGACGGATTCAGTTAGATGATAGAAAATATTGCTCCATTGCATTTGATATACTACATGCCTAGTAATCTCACAATTTTATGCACAATTTTTGTTCCCTAAACTTATGTTTTGGATCAACACTTCAACATGCACTTGTTTTGGCATTTGGAATTTTGCCAAAATGTTACATAGTACGAAGTATTTGAATTAGAAGTGTTGTCACTAACACAAAAACCGAATTTCAGACACAAAAAATGACTCATGAAAGGTCTATGAAATGTAATGACAAATTGCTCTAACAGTTACTATTCATGAACAAATTTGTAGCAGCAAAGAAACAGCAACTGAGTAAACAATTTGCAACAAATAACAGTAATTTCCCATTTTCACAAGAAACACAAATAGTTTCAGATCACAAACAGAGTCAATTCGAGATTGATAAGATGATAAACAAAGGGAATTTACTCGGCGACAGGCGGTTCTGAAGCCGCTGCGACGGAGTTCTGTTCGGTGACAACTGTCCAGTCGGGCGGCAGCGGCGGGAGGGGAGGGTAGAAGGTCGGCCCGCGGCGGCGGATGTCCCAAGGTTGGGACTTTTTCGGGCGAGTCTTGTTGTGGTGGGCGGTTCCCTTCTTCTTCGGCCGAGACGAGCACTCTATCGCCAGTCCTCCGACGCCGCCGGAACTCCTCAGATCCGGTAATCTCACGGCGGAGACGCCGATAGGTGGCGGGGGAGAACGGAGGGGCACCACCATTCTTGAAATACCCGTGGCCGAGAGTGACATTTCTTTCTTTGTTGCTTCTTTCTCCTCCGTTCGAATGACCGAGGAAGAGGATAATGTGAGAATCTCGCCCGGTAGGTGTTTCAACGACGTCGTATCGAATATTGGGCTTCTCGGGTATTTACAGATTGGGCCTTCATGGGCCGAAAATGGAGTTAACGAAAACCCATTGCTCTGAGTGCTGGGAGCTTCAGATCAGAAGAAAGAAAGAAAGAAAGAAAGAAGAAAGAAAGAAAGAAGAAAGAGTGAAGATTTGAGAAGATGAAGCTGCTGGGGTGGTGGTTAATGCTAGTGGGAACGCTGAGATTAGCTTCGGTTTGGTTTGGGTTCTTCGATATTTGGGCTCTTCGTCTTGCTGTCTTCTCCAACACCACAAGTATGCAAATCTTCTTCCCAATCTCTGTGTCTTTCCAGGCTGATTGCCATTTTTATTCTTGCAGATTCAATGTGTGCAGTTATTTTGATGAAATCTTTATCTATTTGAATTTGCTATTGAATTTCTTGTTCTTGCCAACACAATGTATACATTTCAATCCAAAGATTTGAGCTTTATAAAATGTCGAATTCTTCAAGTGTCACTTTTTGTCCCCGGAATGTCCTTGTTTGGGTGCCTAATACATACTTACAGCCTTATCATTTGTTGAATTTGGATGAAAAAGTTGGTTTTTCCCTCTCTGCAACTCAGTATTAGTGTATGTGATGATCTGATGACAGGATATTTTGTTTTTCAATTTGGCTGCCTAGCCTATCTACTCTCGCCAGACCCAATTTTTTGAACGATTTTACTGGGTTTGTTGTTAATTGTCATTGTTGTTTTTGTTTCGAATTTGGCTGCCTAATGGGAGGGCTTTTGTGTATGATTTGTAGTGAGTGAAGTTCATGGGAGGACATTTGGAGTGTGGACGTTGTTGACTTGCACGCTTTGTTACCTATGTGCCGTGAACCTTGACAACCGGCCATTGTATTTGGCGACTTTCTTGTCTTTCATCTATGCCTTTGGCCATTTCCTCTCCGAGTTTCTGATCTATCACACCATGGAATTAAGAAATCTGATAACCGTTGGCATCTTTGCAGGTAATCTTTTCCTTATTTAAATTCTGCAGATTTGCCAAAAATGACCTTACCAAGTGGTCATTTGGCATTCCTTGTGTTTTTCAGAGACCACCCATTAGTTGTAATGTGCCAAGCAAGTAGCTGCTATGTTTTTGCAGGAACATCTATCATATGGATGCTATTGCAATGGAATTCACATCAACGCGTGAAGGCTAAGAACTCTTGAAATCCGAAGGGGATGGGATTGGCCCTTTTTGTTTTGAAGGTTTTAGAAAAGCCGGTGCTTTGAAATCCGATTTGTGGGATTACACTGGGTTTGTTGTTGTTGGTTAATGTTGTTGTGCTTTGAAGTGTGATTCTGGATTTGTTTGAGCAAGTTTTGTTGATTCTTGAAGCATTTGACTCTCTTGGCAATTAAATTAAGGTTTTGGTGTTGATAAATGCATGTATAAACAAAGCATCAAGAGGAAAATGGTCATGTGTTATGGCGGGCTTGACAAAGCATTACATGGTATTGTATTATGAAAAACAAAACTATTTTGGTTTTGGATGAACACTCATTTTCCCTTCAACCAAAAAAAGAAACTGCTGGCCTTTGTAACTTAAAAATAAAAGCAAGTGATAGGCTTTACAGGAAATGAAAACCTAAGAGCACAAATACACACTAACATAGGCAGAATCTATACTTTCTCCATCTCAAAAAACTTTACCCGCTTGATTTTCACGGAGTTCAAAAAAATGTTGAAAAGTGAAAAGTTTATCATTAAAATTTGCTTTGATACACAAAAATTCTTGTGAACCACATGTTTATTACTCCCTAGTGAAAGAGAAAATAAAGTACTTCTTAATAAAAACCTACCAGTAGCATATTTATTTGTCTAAACCCTAAGATATTTGTACCCTGTCCTGCTAGGTAGGATTATCAGTTATCACTCTATGGGAAAACTCCAATCATTTTCCTACATGCATGGCAGATGTTTATGTAACATAGGGACATCAACCCATCAAAGAACAAAAAAACATTCTCTAATACTGCAAAAGATGGGAGTAGTTTATATTAATCTCACCAAATATATTGTCTTTTGGTATTAATATCAATCATCCCTCTTACCAAAAGAGGGGACTCCATATATACTTGGAGTATATTTCTTTTAGACTAGTTATTTCAAGCACATAATAAAACTTAATTTATACACACACATGCAATGTCATATATAGAAGCCACAACTAATTAATTAACATGATCAAGGATTGAAAATGAAGTTGCCACATTTACACTTCCAACACATGGGCTTGTAGTTTCCTGCATTACTGTTACCACTCCCTTTTGCAGAATAAGCTGATGCAGCCATAGCTTTGGAGTGGAGAAGATGATGGTGGAAGGGGCGCCGGTGTTTTTTCTGGTCTGCTGTGGTGTCATCAACGGGGACCTGAACTGCCTCACAGTGACCACCACCACTACCACCGCCACCACCACAGTTCTTGCACCTCATTGCCACCTGATCACATCTTGGAGGTCTTGACCCTATCAAAGACCTCACCGCCACCGCCTTCACTTCTTCTTGAGCCAGCTGTGAGTTGACATGGCTGAATATTGTTGTAATTGAGATGAGGATGAGAAAGATGATTGCTAGATGATGATGATGAAGAACAAAATGGTTTCTGCAGCAAACCATAATAATAGTATTGACCAAGAAAGAAAGAAAGAAAGAAAGAGGAGATCATAAGAGAGATGAAGGGCTAGCTTTTTTTGTTGAGGAGTATGATATATAAAGATACACAAGTGGGAACTCAATAAAAATTCAGAGGTGTGGCCAATGGGCTTTCTGGTTTTCTTCCCCATGCTCACTCTCTTGGTCTCCTTGTCCCCCTCATTTCAGTCCATCTTTTCCCCCCAACAAAACCAGTCTTTTAAAATCATATATATTCACAAACTTCGTTTCGGTTCATTTTCTTTGTTTTTCGGAGAAAAAAGAAGTGTATGGCATCATTTCTCTATCTTCTAAATAAATTTTAATCGCTCAATTTTTCTGGGATTTTCATTTTTGTAAAAAGGTTAGTGAAATCAAAGTATCATTCCCTTGCACTAAAAAAAAGTGTCATTTGTTGTTGCTATGGGAACTATTGGAGGGGTACTTTATATGGGAAATATGAGCAATAAATATCACTATCAAACAAATCAGTGTTGGATCTTGGAAGTGTTGGTTTTCAATGCTGGTAATTCCACTTGTACACTCCAAATCTGTTTGCCCATCTCTTTTCAAGCATATACAGTTTCCAAGAACAATTGATGCCAGGACAGGTGCATAGATCACACACTGCACCTACCTTTAACCCAATACAAAGTGTCACTTGTACTTGGCACCCATGTTTTGTCATGTGAACAACAAAACCAACTTCTCTTTGGGGTTTTAAAGATGAGAAATTGTCTCAAATAATTCTACCCTTTAGCGTGCTTCCAAAAACAAGTTAGCTTTTACTTATGTCTCTGTGTTTTGGATTTTCGTTGGGTCCTTAACAGACATCTAATGGCTAATCTGTCCAAAACTAGAAGAACCGAAATAAAATTAAAATATATTAGTAGCGAGTAGAACAACATAGAACTGAACCTTCATGTTTATCTCCAAAATAAAATCTAGAAAATCATTAGTGTTATCATATACAATGAAAAAAATATTTTGAAATGTCAAAGTACAATGTCACATTACAATAGTTATATTTTGGATATTAAAACACGTTACTCTTATTTTGGAAATAAAAGCTATATTTGTTCATGTTTTTAGTGATTTCTCAATACTTAGTTCTCACAGACAAATGAAAGATGAGATTATTTAAGATATTTACTTCTTTTTCAAATTAATCTTTCTAAAAAAATGAAAAGTCAAAGTTAATACAATTAATCATTCTAGATTCACAAATAAAATGGCCCAAAATTCACAAACTTTCTATTAGTGAACTTGAATAAAAAAATTTAAATAGTCTAAATTAATTTTAAAATGAAAATTTAAACCATAAATGGTAAGTTTGTGAATTTTGTGGTTATTTGGTTTGTGAACATAGCATTGCTCTTTCTAGCACATATTCACAACACTATAATCTATGTTTCTTTATTGTTCCGTATCCATAACTTTTGTTGTGTCGTTGATGAATCCTTAATATTTTCCCTCAGACTATTCGGCAGTCCAAGTCCCGAATATTAGTATCCCGGCCTTGTAACAGTGAAAGAATATAAATAAAGTAGTAATGAGCAGTGCAAAATGGACGACACACAGTTATATAACTTAAACCGGGGTCCTTTCTTCTAAACCGTCCGTCTATGGATCGGAATATGCTCTAAGACCGCCAGAATATTTTTTTTATTACTCAAAGTATGTCTTTTCTCTCTCGGTTACAAGTTGCCTTCCATGGCCATATCTTACTCTCTTTTATAGGGACTCCCCCAACCACCATCTGATTATAATATCTTCGCTGGTTGAGGGAATATTCGGGTAATCATCTTCTCCTAGAAAGCTCCCGTTCTCGCTTAAGGTTATTTGCTTCAAGTTAAAACAACCCATTAGACAAATATTCCATATATTCTCTTTCTCAAAACTGACAAGGAATATTTTGTCCATCTCTCATGGGAGGTGGGCCGTGTACTTCCTCGGTGACCCGGTCCTCTTGTAGGTTGAAGCTCCACTTTTACTCGAGCCCAATCTTCTCAAGTCCCATCTTAATTCTTCCTTGATTCAATCCTTTGATTGGATCGGGCCCAACTAACGGCTTACCTTGGCTCATTTGTCTTCCTATACTTGGGCCGGACCTTCTGAAGTTATGACTCTAACTTGGGCCTGATATGTACTTTGGACCCACCCATCTTAAGATGTCTTGATGGGCCAGTTTCTCATTAGTCGTTTTAGAAAAACTTGTTGTGAATTGTAAAAAAAACTAGTTTTCTACCCCGTGCTACGCACGGGCTTGTTATTAGGGCTCGTTGTCATAATGTTATTGATGCGATGGTTGAAACGCTTGGGCATGTGTTAAAGGGTTGTGTATGTTTTGGTTTTGTAGGATTTTGAAAGGCTACATTGTATCTTTTTGTTTTGTGAAATGTGAAGAGTGATATTATTCTATTTTGGGGTTTTTTAATTTGATGTTGGTGGTTGAAGAGATTCNTTATAAAAAGTTAATAAAAATAATAGTTTTTTATTGTTGGAAAGTGAAGAGTTTATAAAAAATAAAAATACGAATTATTTAATACAAAATTAACTCACATGCATGGATGGACGTACATGTGTCATGTGATATACGCGTGGCGGGACACGTGTCATTAGTATGCACGTGTGGCATGACACGTGTCGTCACCACAACTTTGAAACCCTCTTTTACATATATATATATATATATATATATATATATATATATAGGATATAGATACATTTCCCAAAGCGACACTACATAATGTCTTTTCGATAATCCACCATAAGTTTTTTTGTTTTTACAATTTTTTTCCACACAAGAGCGCTACAAAATTTGTTCAAATGGCACAACAATTTTTTATACAAAATAAACCTACACATTCTTTGACAATTTACTATACTTTAGATACTCTGTAATTTTTAAATATGTAATCCTGTATTTTTCAATCCACTTTAGTTTTTTAATAAATTAAATTGACATTAATTTTACTCAAATAAGGTAAATGGAAACTCGAAAGAGGTCATTTTAATAACTTTACCTCTTACTACGTACATTTCATTGTTTACAAAATATTCCGAAGCCCGTGGATCATTGTGTTTGCTTGGCTTGGGCTTGGGTTGGGCTTAATCACGGGCTTCATTTATTAAGCCCACTTTATCAGGTCTTGAGAGATTGCATCCATGAAGCGAAACATTGACCCGACCATTATATATAGAAACCCTAAACCCTTGAATTCTACACCTCTCATCTTTTTGCCTCTCCCTTCTTCGAAACCCTAGTGCCACTAAACTACAAGCAATTATGGTTGCTCCGGGAGGTCGTGGAGGCGGCGGTGGTTTCAGGGGCGGGCGTGATGGTGGAAGAGGAAGGGGGAGAGGACCACCCGGCGGCCGAGGTAGGGGCGGCCCGCCTAGAGGAGGTCCGATGAAGCGCGACGGAGGCAGGGGTAGGGGTGGCGCCCCACGAGGAGGTGGGAGAGGCAGGGGAGGAATGAAGGGGAACAGCAGGGTTGTGGTGGAGCCTCATCGGCACGAGGGAGTGTTCATCGCCAAGGGTAAGGAAGATGCCCTTGTCACCAAGAATATGGTCCCCGGTGAAGCTGTCTACAATGAGAAAAGAATTTCTGTTCAGGTACATCCTTTTTTCCCTTTGTTGGATTTCAAAATTTTTATTGCTTTAATTCTTTTTTTAATGTTACCTTTGTTAAAACTTTTGATTAAACAATGTTTATTGGGGTCTGGTTAAGCTCTTCAAAATCCTGTCTTTTTAATTACCCTTTTATGGTGCTGCAATTTACTAGTAATATTGTTATGATTTGCATTATCGTGATTTGTTTGAGGTATGATAGACAAAATTCTGACTTTCACTCGCCTATTGTTCCCTTACCTCAAATTTGGTCTCCGATTTTTATGTTGTGCAAATTTGTGACTCTTTATGTGTGACAGAATGAAGATGGAACCAAGGTGGAGTACAGAGTGTGGAATCCATTCCGTTCGAAGTTGGCTGCTGCTGTTCTTGGAGGCGTTGATGAAATTTGGATTGTAAGTTTTTTGTGTGAATATATGGATGCAATGAATTTTTAAATTGTTAACAAATATCTCATCTTGCAAGTAACACACAGTATAATTTTTTTCTAGAGAACCATCAAACAAAATTATTTTTTAAGAATTCCATGAAGCAGTGGGTAAAGCTGGAACTTCACTGGTTTTAAACCAAAATGGTTTTAGGTGGTTTGCTGATCATTAATCCAGTTCTTTTGAAAAAATTAGTTTAGTGTGTTATTTAAAAATTGAAGTATTTGTTAGTTTGTTTTTTACCATAATATTGTTGTTATTAATCTAAATATGTTGTTTAATCCTAATTATTATGAATCAACCAGAAACCGGGTGCACGCGTTCTCTACCTCGGAGCTGCATCAGGAACAACAGTTTCTCATGTTTCTGACATTGTTGGACCTACTGGGGTTGTATATGCTGTTGAGTTTTCACACAGAAGTGGTAGAGACTTAGTTAACATGTCAAAGAAACGGACGAATGTTATCCCCATTATAGAAGATGCCAGACATCCTGCAAAGTACCGAATGTTGGTTGGCATGGTTGATGTCATATTTTCTGATGTTGCTCAACCCGATCAGGTTTACATTCCACTGATCTTCCTGAATTTTTGTTGAGTAGAACCTTTTGCCAAGAAGCAACTTTTACACCAATATTTAAGTTTCATGGTGCTTTGTGTCATATTTTGTGTGTTAGTACCTTTAAGCAAGTGATGATTAACTCGGATTCCCCTTCAAGACATTTTGGATGATGTAAAAACCGAGTTTCTGATGCCCCGCTCTTTGCATATCTTTGTCATCTTTGCCATTGGAATATTATTAAATATCACATTTTTTTAAGTTTTATGCAACCCAGTTTTCTTAGTTAGTAGTTATTTAACCTATTTTCCGATTAATTTCAAATGGTCACTCTTAAAGATTGTGTGATTTTTTGTATCATACTTTGCGTTGTTTAAATTTTATAAGCAAATGATGATTTACTCGGATTCCCCTTCAAGACATATTGGGTGATGCAAACACCGAGTTTCTGATGTGCATACCTAATTATTTTCATCATTGTATTGCTCTTAAATCTTTAGTTTTTTTAACTTTTATGCATCTCAGTTCCCTATTTTCTAGTCATTTATCATATTGTTTAATCTGGAACATTCTCCCTCAAACTGTATAAATGCTTGTTTCATATTATGCATGTTTCAATTTTGTCAAGCACATGATGAGTTACTGCTACCATTTTTATTCTTTCCAGTTTTTGTAATTTATGAGGTTTAGTTTCCTTTTTCTTTTATTTTAATTATCTATAATCATTCCTATTATACATGGTTGAGAGTTTTTACTTGAAACCCATGTCCTATATCTCTATTGTCTATTTTAATTATACTTTAAAATTTTAATGTCCCAATTTGTTTTTCATATGTTTATTGTGGGTGTGCTTCTTTGGTGGACTTCCTCACATAAGGAGCATTTTTATTCATTTCTTTTCTTTATTTTTTCTGAAAATGTATCATGAGGTAAGGCCTCTAACATGTAGTTTTGTAGTTACTCATCTTAATTGTTGGTATTTTTATATTGACTTGCCAATTCTGATATTCCTCTTGAAATGCTCTCATTTGTTTTGATCTCATTTATAGGCAAGGATTCTGGCGCTGAATGCCTCCTACTTTCTGAAACAGGAAGGGCATTTTGTCATTTCGATAAAGGTTTGTGTTTCCCATTTTGGCATGGCTTTTAATTTGTGCTTGTTACCCCCAAGCGGTTCTTATTCTCTCAGTCTATGAACATTATTTCCTTTGTGCTTTGTCAGGCAAACTGCATAGATAGCACTGTGCCTGCAGAAGCCGTTTTTGCGCAGGAGGTCAAGAAGCTGCAGGCAGAGCAATTCAAGCCTATGGAGCAGGTCACGCTTGAGCCGTTTGAGCGAGACCATGCCTGTGTTGTTGGGGGTTACAGGATGCCAAAGAAGCAAAAGCCAACTTCCTAGTTTTTTGTTGTGTGTTCAAGTTCAAGTTTCTCAAGGATTGTTTAAGACCCTTTTTCTTTTAAGTCCTTTTCATTAGCCATGTTTTGCGTAATCTGCTTTTTGTTTAGGTACTTTGGGAGAATTGTTTTGTGACTCAGTGATTGCTCTTTCATCTTTGTTTTCATCTTTGATGTTTCTTTTTTGATTCCGTATTATTTTCATTTTATTGTATGAAAATTAGTGTGAATTTAGAAATAAGTCTATATATCTAAAGTTTTACAAAATAAGTATTGAATGGTAACATTACTATTATATTATCGAAGTAGTTAAAGTGTCACCAAATTGGAAGAGAGGATGTAGAACTTTTAATTTAGTTTAAAGTATATAAATCTTATTTTTGAATTTTTCACTTACAATAAATAATAAATTTAAGAGGTGTATTCCATTTAAATTTTAAAAGATTATGTTAATGATCCATGGATTTTCACACAAGATATTGCACTGTCTGGTCAATAGTTGACTTATTTTTGATGAAACTACTACGTATATTCGACATAATTAAGCAAAGAAAATCAACGACCTAGATAGTGAAGAGGAATGAGAAGCTCGTTAAGATAAAGAAAGGAAAATGTTAGGGGTACTTCAAAAGTGTACCCCAAACATCCCCACCCTCTCCATCACCACACAAAAAAAGCATATGACACCCAACAATATTTAGGATCAGACAAGAGAACGAATTATTCAACCCGGTTGGATCCACTGATCTGATCAGACAAGAGAACGAATCTAACTGAGAATCTCTCGTCGTTGCAGATCCTCTAGGTCCAGTCTCAGGATTATCTTGGTTCTTGTTTGGGTGTTCGGATAAATGCTAAAAGTTCAAAACTTTTATATAGTATAGTTCTGGAAAATATAAGTGGAAGCAGTTTCTCCTTGCACATCACAGGTCTGAGGTATATAATTGTTACTACGGTGTATTATCTATGGGGCATAATTCTTGCACACCCAGTTGACTTTCACAGACATCTGTGGACTGTTTCATAATGCCAGTATGATGGATTTCATCATCATTCCCGATTCTTGAATCTTGATCGTGTGAAGGGCACGAGCATAAATTAGGATAGCTAAGCGTGTGATTATGCGTGAGGGAATTGTAAGTTTAATGGCATGAGCACCAAGTGTTTGATATTTGGCTTGAATTTTGCAGCATTGTTTATCTTAGTAAGTTTTGAAATCAGCCTTTACTTTTTTTTTTAAAGGGGTGATTGAAGAAGCATTTTTTGAAAGCAAGAAACTTTTTTTATTCCAAGAACTTTAGCTAACTATGGGCATATGATGATTCATTTCTGCAGACTTCTTGGAATAGTTCAATGACCCATTCCGGCACTGGTGTCATCCTAAACAACAATTTCTCCGAAGGGCTGAATTATTGGCACCACAACTGCTGTGAAGCCTTTGTGGTTCCAGCAGGTGTGCAAAATTATGTTGTCGTTACAAACCGAAAGGAGAGCTGGCAAGGCTTGGAGCAAGATATTACAAACCGAGTTTCTATAGGTTCCACCTATACATTTAATGCTTCTGTTGGAGTCTCAGGAGCAATTTCAGGGTTTGATGATGTCCAGGCCACACTGAAACTAGAGTATGAGAATTTAGCTACTAGCTATGTATTCATTGGAAGGTACTTGTTCCCTCTTCTCTCTACTATGTTTATCAAAGAAAATCTATGTTTACGGAGGATATTTTTGTAAATGCAGAAAATCTGTTTCTAAAGATTGCTGGGAGGAATTGGAAGGCACATTTTCACTGTCTAGTATGCCTGCTCGGGTTGTATTTTATTTGGAAGGACCTTTACCTGGGGTAGACCTACTCATAAAATCAGTTGTGATTACCTGTTCTGCTTCCAAAGATTGTGAAGTAAGTGTATTTCAACCTCTTCTTGTATGAATTATTGTTTAGAATTTAGTTTTTTAAAGATGAAAACTGGGAAAGAAAAAGAATTACTCCCTCCATCCTAAAAAAGAGTTTTATTTGCACAAGAGAAGCTGATTTTGATTATTTTTAGGAGTATATTCTTAATTATATTAGTAGTCAAGTATATTCCCTATTATTGGTCCAAAAATCCTTAGATCTGCGTGCCCATGTAGAACTGTAGAAGAGGTTATTGAAATGCAGAAAGTGAAGAGCTTGAAAGATCTAAGGATCTAGAAAAAATAGACAGAAAAGATGGGCTCACTGGCAGTATTAGTATGTCTTAGAGGCATATATGATCTTTTTGTTGTTTTGATGTATAGCAGCATCCCTATAACTTAGTTTGGAAAATATTTTCAACTGTGAAGGCCAAGTATCATATATCAACTTATAGTTTTTTGCCAATGCCACTTGCTTTTACTAAAATGTACTACGGAACATATTTTTATTGGTAATGTATCATACGGTACCTAATACGGTAAGATTCTGTTAAGTTGCTAAAGTTGCTGATCAGAGACCACGTACACCGTAAGCTGGTGAAGGAAGAAGAAGATGTAAGGTCGAGCCCTTCTTTGCACATGGCTAAGAGTGAGATAGAAAACTGTTCATGACAAGTTCTTAATTAGGTTTGCTTAATGATAAAGAGGTTATTGATAATTGTGGAATATAAATATTTGTAGTCTTACAAGAAATTACTATCCTAATACAACTAGGAAACCAACTAGTAAGAACTATAACAATTTAGGACATGGTAATAATAAAGAAGGTAAAATTTAGGCAACAATTAATAGATAATTAAACAATAAGACTTCTAATTGCCATCTGGGATCCCTTCGGCGGTACTGGATACCCAAAAAGGGATCCATAACCGTCTAACAGATTCATGATTCAAAAAGTGGGTCTCACAAATCATGACTTGAACCTCGACCTGACAACCTTGGCCTAAACTTTTTCCTTGTGATTGATAGAGTTCCGGCATGCAATCTCTCTCTGCTCAAGAGGAGATCATACAGAACCCCATATTTGAAGGTGGTCTGAATAACTGGTCAGGGAGAGGGTGCAAGATTGTTCTGCACGATTCTATGGAGGATGGGAACGTCCGTCCAGTGTATGGGAATTTTTTTGCACGTGCAACAGAACGGTCACAGAGTTGGCATGGAATTCAGCAAGAGATTACAGGGAGAGTACTTCGAAAGCGTGCCTATGAGGTTCATGCTACAGTTCGCATTTATGGTAGCAATGTCACGGGTGCAACTGTTCAGGCTACAATGTGGGTCCAGGCGGCTGATCTTCGTGAAGAATACATAGCCATTGCCACGTATGCTTCCTCCACATTATATTCCACTTGCATTTGATGATGTGTTAATGTGCTATAGACATATAATGTTAATTGCTTTTATCCCTTCAAGCTTGTGGATTGACCTCTTTTTGTTACTATACTCTGCATATATCCCCTCAAGCCTCTTCAAAAAATGAAAATACTAAAATTTTGGCTCTGCTTTGCAACTGGTGTTTAGCTGTGTGTTAGTTCTTTGGATAGTTTTTTTTTAAAAAAAACTTGCAAAATGAGCCTTTTGTAAACCAAGCTTTAAGAAAGGTGCTCCAAAGTGGATGAAAAACAGGGTTTTTTTGTAGGCCAGGTTTTAGGACCAGAAAACATTCCCAAAAGTCTCTTTACCAAACACTTCTAATAGCTTCCCTTAAGTCCAAAATCTCTTTTTTTTTCAAACTCCTTGCCATACACCTTTAAAAGTAATTACCATTATGGATCTGTCTTGGAACTCTTAGGGTGTGTTTGGTTAGGGGGGAAATATTTTCTTTCGAAAATGTTTCATTCAAAAATGTTTTCCTACCACTTATGTAACCAAACAAAAGAAAATGGAATCAAAATTTTCCAGAAAAATACCCCCAACCAAACGGGCCCTTAATTTGATAGTTTTTTCCTTAGCAGTGTGAACTACTTATTCCAGTTTGTGTGTGTGTCATTATCTATTTGCAGTTTGGCGTAGTCTAAACATGAAGAGAAATTTGTATTCATGCTATATCTACGCCAATGGAGAATTATAAATGAAACAACCAACTTTCCTTTCAAGTTATGTCTTTACTTTCATCCACAAGATGAGATGAAATCCATAGTTATTGTATGATGTACTAATTATATTAATAACAAACAAATTAATCACCTGAAATAATAGACAAATCATTTGAGATGAGCTAAGTTTTTTCAAAAACGATTTCAGTACAGAAAAAAAGCTACTTGTTGGCCTGTTGGAGTGCACATCGGTAGTGTCCGGCGGAATGTTATTGCTAAACAAATAGGGAGAGATCTTGGTTTGAATAAACGTAATTCAAAAACTAGAACAAAACTTTAATATTAAAAAACAAAATCATCTACACAGAACAAGAACCATCCTTGTAATTTCTTCAAGAACAAGAGACTTTCATTCTACAATAATATCAAAAACTACTTGAAAAACAGTATAATATACATAAAATAACAAGCACTACTAACAATAAGTGCAAATGGAGTTTGAAAATAGAAGAATATACGCAAAATAAGATACATTATTAACAGTATGAGTAAGTGCTAATGGAGTTCATAATGGTAATTATTATATTTTGCTCAATATGAAATCCTCATACTTGTTACTTGAAATTTGAACGGTGTGGCAGAACATAGACTATGTTTTCATCCTCTTTAGTAGCAACATTAGTACCTGCAGGGGGTATCTCATTATTTTCATCTGCTTTGGAGGCAAGGATCTCCTAAACTTTAGGAATTTTAGCATAGGTGGAAATTTGTACATATAGAATACATTTGGAAAATCGTGAAGGCACCTTTTCACACAGATAATTTTGTGGAAGACAATTGCAACAACTGAACACACACAATGATATGGGGAAGATCGAGATATTTCTTTGAGATTCAGTTTGCATCTTGAGTGCAAACTCCCTTTGTTGAGTCCTGACCTTTGAACAAGGAGAGCATGCACTGTTCAGGCTTGCAAAGTTGGGTAGCTGACCTGATCAGGCATGCAAAGTTCATGACCGAAGAGGGGAGACTGCACTCAATGCTGATTTGAAATTTGGAATTGTCTTGGTCTTTAGTATATCGATGGTGTGTGTGCAGTTGATGCGATTGCCTTCTTCAAATTTATGTATGTAGAAAGGTGCCACCGTGATTTTGTTGATTTACTGTGTATGTGCCAAGATCCTCATAATGCTTAAATTTCTAAAGTTGAGAAGATTCTTGCCTCCAAACCAGATCAAAATGAGGGGATACTACCTGCACAAAATGATGTTGGTGCTGAAGAGGAGGATGAAGAGATGGTATATGTTCCGTCACAGCGTTCAAATTTTGGTGACTTCATAGTATCCTATATATAATAATTACGTAGTACTATTACGAGCTCTATTTGCACTTATTGTTTATAGTGCTTGTTATTCTATTATATTTTACTGTCTTCAAACTCCATTTGCACTTATAGTTAATATTGCTCGTTATTTTACGTATATTTTACTCTCTTCGAATAGTTTTTTTGGATATTACTGTAGAATGAAAGTCCGGTTCTCGAACAAATTACAAGAATGATTTAAGTTTGTGTTGATGATTTTTGTTTTTTAAAAGCATCACTATCTTCGTCCCAATAAACCTTTCCACATCTTGATTTTTTTGTCAACTATTGACACGCTTTGATCATTAATAAATACTAGTATAATTTTATCTAAATAAATATTATCAAAAATTGCCATATCAAAATTAAATATATTTTTCTCACGTAGTCAAAGTGTGTAGAAAGTTGACCAAAAAAATAGAAAGGTTTTTTGGGACGTAGGTGGTAAATTTCTGTGCTGATTTTAAAATTACGTTTACTGAGTCCAAGACTTCTTTCCCTTTATGTTTAGCGATGGCGTCATTTTAGCAAACCCTACCGCTGTCTAGTCCAACAAGCGGTTTTCTTCTTGTGCTGAAATTGTTTATTTTGCAAAAGTCTATAGCTTATCTTAAATGATCTTTCAATTATTTCAATTCATTAATCACTTGTTATTAACCTAACAAGTACATCATACAGTACCTATGGATTTGATCTTAATTTTTTACCGAAGAAGCTTTTATTCTAAATAATTTATTGAAAATCTCTAAGAGTGTGTTTGGATTGAGGGGAAGGGGAGGTGAATTAAAGGAGGATTTTTCTTTACTCAACTTCTCCCCTCCAATCCAAACACACTATTCTCAGCTGATTGTTCTGCAGTGTAAAAGCAACAGAAAAGGAATGGGTACAATTACAAGGGAAGTTTCTTCTCAATGGTTTCCCATCCAAGGTCATTATTTTTCTTGAGGGCCCACCTCCAGGTACAGACATTCTCTTGAATACTCTAACGGTGAAGCGTGCAGCAAAAGTTCTTCAATCTCCTCCCCCAACGGTCGAGGTTAGTTGGAACTATTTGATCCCAAAAATACCCCTTACGTAGACGTTGTTTGATACGTGGTATAATAATATTACCCTCCAGGGTGTAGAATATGGTGTCAATATTGTCACAAATGCCAACCTTTACAATGACACCAATGGGTGGTTCCCTCTTGGGAACTGCACCCTCACTGTTGGAACTGGCTCCCCTCTCATAACCCCTCCAGTGGGTAGAGATTCTCAGGGAGCTCACCTGCTGCACTTAAGTGGTCGTTACATTCTCACGACCAACCGGACCGAGTCATGGATGGGTCCAGCTCAGATCATCACGGAGAAAGTCAAACCATATTTGACTTATCAGGTGTCCGCGTGGGTTAGGATTGGTAAAGTAGCCAATGGGTCCCATGTTGTGAATGTTGCCCTTGATGTGGATGGCCAATGGGTAAACGGCGGTCAGGTTGAGATTAACAATGGCAACAGATGGCATGAGGTTTTCGGATCATTCAGAATTGAGAAAGAACCGGCTAAGGTTAGGGTCTATGTTCAGGGCCCCGCTCCCGGTGTTGACTTAATGGTTGCAGCACTTCAAGTTTTTCCACTTGATAGAAAGGCGCGGTTTGACCACTTAAGGAGAGAAACCGACAAGGTACCAAAGTTGTCTTCACTTGTAGTTCACCAAATGTTGTGTTTCAAGCCACAGCCTAAATATGTGTTTTTTTTATTTCAGATACGTAAGCGCGATGTCATTTTGAGAATCTCTGTTCCAGACAGTTTGGCTGGAACAGCTGTGAGAGTGAGGCAAACACAAAACAGTTTCCCATTTGGATCATGTATTAGCAGAGGAAACATAGACAATGAAGACTTCAGAGATTTCTTTGTCAGATACTTCAATTGGGCTGTGTTTGGGGACGAGCTGAAGTGGTACTCAACAGAGCCACAGCCAGGAAACCTGAACTACAAAGACGCGGACGAGCTCTTGGACTTTTGCATGAGGAACAATGTCCGTGCCCGCGGGCACTGCATATTCTGGGAGGTTGAGGATGCCGTCCAGCCGTGGGTCCGCGGTCTGAGAGATAACGACCTGTCAAATGCCGTCCAAACGCGCCTTACGTGCCTCCTCACGCGCTACAAGGGGAAGTTCGAGCACTACGACGTGAACAATGAGATGATGCACGGCTCGTTCTATCAAGACCGGCTCGGGAAGCGAATCCTCACCGACATGTTCAAGACCGCGCGCCAAATTGACCCCTTTGCCCTCCTCTTCGTGAACGACTATCACGTCGAGGACGGCCGCGACGCCCGGTCGTCTCCCGAGAAGTACGTTGACCACATTGTTGACCTTCGAGAAGGCGGGGCCCCCATAGGGGGAATAGGCATTCAAGGGCACATAGAAGCCCCGGTGGGGCCGGCCATTCGTTCCGCCCTAGACAAATTGGGAACCCTCGGGCTCCCCGTTTGGTTCACGGAAATAGATTTCTCTTCGGCGAGTGAGTACGTGAGGGCGGATGATTTGGAGGTCATGCTTCGCGAGTGCTACGCCCACCCTTCGGTCGAAGGGATTATGCTTTGGGGGTTTTGGGAGCTGTCAATGTCACGCGAAAACGCTCATTTGGTGAACGCCGAAGGCGATCTCAATGAGGCCGGGAAACGGTATGTTGCCCTTAGAGATGAATGGATGTCACATTTTGATGGAGATTTTAATGGAGGAGAAGGAGGGGAGTTTTGCTTTAGAGGATTCCATGGATCATATGATGTGGAAGTCATTGCTGGTTCAAAGAGATTTAGGAAGACTTTTGTGGTTGAGAAGGGTGAGGATCCTTTGGTAATCTCATTTGGTCTTTAGTTTGTGAGTCTATATTCTTTTCACTGTTTTTGTTTTCTCAAACTTTGTTTATAATACATGAAAAAAAGTTTTGAGTCCGAATCTACATCAATAATGATATATGGAGTATTCGTTTTGAAACGTGATTATATTTTTCTCAAAAAGTTACATTGCACTGTAGACAGTAAAAAGGTAAAAAAGAAATTTTTAGGACGGAAGCTATACTGGTTAAATTTGTATTCTTGGTAAAATTAGAAACACTATAGCTTCCTTGATACAGCAAACTCAAGGAAAAATTGGGTTAGAAGTAATTCATCCAGAAAGAAAGTGTCTAATCAGTCTAAGCTGTCAATGGTTTGATTTCCAATAAAAAGGTCTAGCACTAATTAAGTCACCCGAAGGAAAAAAAATACCCCTCTATCTCTAAATATTTGCCAGACTTGTATTCTTAAAATAAAATATTAAGTTTTTACAATTCATTTTATTTACATATTAGTATAGAAATAAAAAATAAAATTTATACTCCCTCCGTCCCCCATAGATCTTTCCAATAGCCCTTTTTCTTTGTCCACAATAGATCTTCTCATTTCATTTTTTTTACAATTAAAATACCACAACTACCCCCACTTACTTTATTTATTACACTTCACCCACCCCATTTAATACACTCCACCTATTTTCATTAAGGGTATTACAGTAAACTTTCACCTTTTTTCAACTCTTCTTAAAAACCACAAAAAGTCAAAATGAGAACATCTTAGGGGGACGGAGGGAGTATATCAAAAAACTATATGGAAAGTTCTTTGATATAAGAGATGTCAAGAATATTTTATTTTATGAAATAACCAATGAAAATATAGAAATAAACAAAAGTTCTCGCGACTGTTGAAAAAGCATGCGTGACAAATATTTTGGAAAAGAACATACTTCCTCTAAAAATTTATGTTTTCATTTTTTTCTTGACATGATAAGTTTTCATTGTACCAAGAAAACAAAATCAATCAAGTTTTACTAGGGAGTACTACTTTTTAAGGGATTTAGGCGTTAAAATTGTCTGTGGTTGAAAATTATTGAATAAATAACGAAATACTCCCTCCGTCCTGCTATATTCGTTCACTTTTGACTTTTGGAACTGTTCATCTAAGCACTTTGACTCATCGAATTCTCTCAATGTGTAAGCCTAAATATAGTCATGTGTGATCTTGTTTGATTTGTCTTAACGTATAAATTATTAATATATAATTTTTTAATATACAAATTACAAGATAAAATGGATTAAAGAAGTGCATTGGATGGTGTGTAAAAATGAAAGTGGACAAATACTCTGGGACGGAGGGAGTATTTCTTAGGGAGTACTCCGTAATAAATAGTGGAGTACAATTACTTTTGTCCCAAAATAATTTTTTAGTTTTTCTTTTTTTTTTTCAAAAAATCAAATTCACGTTCTTTCTTATGTACGCATTGATTGGTTCACAATATTTCTCTTTCCTCTTCATAAATAAAAATTATATATTTTATTTTTACTCACATTTCATAAAAATGAAAACGAGAAATTTCATTTGGGACATAGGAAACACTATCTTTGGCCTAAAAAATTTTAATCCACTTAAATATCTCAAAAAACTTTATCTACACTCTCTGACATCCTAAGAAATGTACACTTAATTTATTTCTTGTTTTGAAAATTTCCATGTTTTAATCATAAACTCGTATTTTTAAAAAAAAATTATAAAGTCGAATGTGATTTTTTTTTTTAGTAGAGAGGAAATAAATCATCCAAACGGGGACGTACGGAGTATTAATTTTGACGGAGAATAATGTGTGACTAACAATCATTCAAGACATCCAATTAAATCAGGTGTCACGGGGGCCCACAATCCAGTCCAGTCCAGAAAGCACAGCTTGGCCCACAAATCACATCCATTGATTGACCCCCACTATCTACTCCTCCTCTTCCCCATTATTGGACTCAAGTTGGGCCTCTTTCCACAAACAACGTCTCACTTACTTGATTCCATTGGCCCACTCAACGTGCTACATTCTAGACTTGTAAATTTGATGGCAAGCCGATATGTGTTTATATACTTTGTACGTAGTATGAATGAATATAATGACACAAGCAAGGGTGGTTGTTAAGTATCCCACCTCAGAAATTTAAAAAAAAATAATTAGTATATAAGTCCTAAAAATTCATTCTTAACGATTCGTTAGTTTTTAGCCCATTTATTTGTATGAAAAAAACGGTATGCGGCCCATATAACCTGATTGTTAGTTAGAAAGTTCATACCTAGCAATTATGATTTTGTACCAAGTTTGGTTTTATCTCGGTCCATGTTTGGTTTCGTGAGGTGGTGCACCCAACTTGTCGGTCGGAGTTGCACACGTTTGCTTTGACTATTTGGGCTTTATGGAAGGCTCGCAATAGTTTAGTTTGGAAGCTTCTAGTCCCTACACCCTCGAGCACGGCTTGAGAGTTTTTAAGTCGGGTGGTTGGGTCGACTATATCCTCTCCTAGGCCGATTAGACTAGGAGCTTTTAAACTATTTATGGATGCATTGTTATTTCCTCCTTCTATGGTTGACTTTGGTTGTGTTCTCTTTAATCGTGACGACTCTTTCTTTGTTGCTCTGAATGGAGAATTAGCTTGTGAGGCTGATCCAGGGCTAGCTGGGGCGATGACATGTAAGAGGGCTTTGGGTTGGACGAAGGAGCGAGGACTCACGAAGTTAGAGGTGTCTCGGAATGCTCTTGAGTTGTGGAAGCAGTTAATGGTGAGTCTTTTTTTTTTTTGCCCTATGTTGGATCGGTTATTAATGATTGTTGGGGGCTAAAGCATTCACAATGGCAAGGCAATGCCTTGTCTTGCCATGCCATGTCAGCAAATTCCACTCAAATCATGGCATTCCATGACCATTCCACCCTACTTTTCATTCCATGTGCAAGACATGATTCTTTCATTTTTTATTTTTTTAATATTTTTAATATTTGTAATTTTTGGAAAAAATATTTTTTTAAAGAAGTAAACATATTTTAATAATAAAATAGATTTTTAAAATAATTTTTTATAATTAAAAATCATTAAAAAGTGCAAAAATAGACAAAAATAACGACTTATCACTCTGTATGTTACGACACTTCACTCATTTGCGACACGGTGATTGGGTTACTTTTTATTGGTTGAAATAATCCATGTCACCGTGTGGTATTTCATTTTTGCCTTGCCATTGTCAATGCTCTTATATGAGTTAAATTATGCTTCTTTGTTATTAGTTCGTTGGTCATGTAATGTGGTGGCTCATGAGGTAGCTAAGAGAGTTATTCCGCCTGATTTTGTAATGCCATTTTTGAATAAATGAAAAGTTATTTTGTTTTTCAAAAAAAAAATGAATTTTGTTTCTCATTTTTTGATGATTCCTTTTGCATCTTTGCATGCAACAAAATAATCTCATCAATTAATGCTTATCAGCGTTGTTTTTCTTCTTTCTAATTTGTTATTATTCTCTTACGTGCCGGTAAGTATAGACATGCCTTTTTTCTTTAGCGGATTATATTCGAATTCTTCATGGATTATATTCTGTGCACAAATTAGTGACACATTATGAAATTCCAATATCCTATTTAAAACACTCCGTAATAGTATGTATTTCTTCCCTCCCAAATTATATTTTTTACTTTAACTTTTATGAAGTTTAAGGAAAAATAAAATTTATAATTGAAATTTATGCAAATGAAAATAATAATATGAACAACTAAATATGTACTTTAAAAATTGAAGAAAAACCAAAAAATTTGGTTGACAAATAAAAAATGAAAATAAAACATTCATTTTGGACAAAGGAAATTGCTATTGTAAAACGTAGAATGAAACACCTGTAGCGTAGTTGTTATTAAAAGTAATTGGTGGGGTTCTAGTGACATCAAAAACTAGTGATACTATCAGTGCCACTGCGTTTTTGAGACACTTCTGGTGCTTCGTTCATAAAATTGACGGTTCATACCTCCCTAACCCATCTCCTGCTCCCACCCTACCCTTACCCCTGCACCCCTATCCCAATCCCGCTGTAAGCCCAATTGAAATCTATATTGAGAAGGGCAATCAAATACTCAGTCAAATGAAATCCCAAGTTAAATTTGATGCGAGTAGTGGATCATCATAAAGTAGAAATGTAACATCAATCGATATTTTTTAAAACAAGAAAATTGATTGTTTAATTTGCGTCCAATAATTTTATTATCATATGATCGGTGTGTCAAGTCGATCATACTAAGATTAATTAAAGGCCCAGTTGTGTTGGAAAAAGGCATTCATCAATCAATGAATATAATATAATACGGAGTATAATATAATATACTCCCTCCGTCCTAAAACTTTCTTCCTAGAATACTATTCCAACTTCACGGGAATTTATATTTATTTGTGTTTTTTCATGGCCTATATGATAAAATAAAATATTCTTGACACCACTTGTTTTATTGAACTTTTGATGTAGTTTTTAAATATGTATGTTTTATTTTTTATTTCTATACTAATGTTTAAATAAAATAGATTGAAAAAACTTACTCCCTCCGTCCGGAAATATTCTTCCCACTTTCCTTTTTGGTCCGTCCGGAAATATTCTTCTCATTTCCTTTTTTAGTATACTTTTTAAGGATAAATATCAATAATACCCTTCTATTTTATCACAAATCTACTTTTTTAGTACTTTTTAATAATAAAAAGAGATTTAAAAGTTTATAGTATGTGCATTTTTGAAAATTTTGCATTTTTTTACTATTCCTTAATAAGCGTGCCAAGTCAACACGGGAAGAATATTTCCGGACGGAGAGAGTAGGATTTTTCTTCGTTTTGCGCAACGAGAAGAAAGTTTTAGGACGGAGGGAGTAAAATAATATAATATAATACGGAGTATAATACTATAATATAATAGTCGTACAAAATAATACTGAGTGACACTTCAACATGCATATACTACATATATGGGGACACAAGTATAAATACAATACGACTATAACATTACAAAACAAAACGAAAATATAGCAATATTTTATGCTATCATGAACAAATGTGAAAACATATTTGTCACCCCTAGCCTCTATAATAATAATAATAATAATAATAATGATAATAATAATAATAATAAATTAATAATAATAATAATAACTATTATAATTATAATAACAACTGTAATAGTAATAATGGTTAAATGTATTTTTAGTATATGTAAAATAGGTAATTTTTGTTTTTAAGCCCTGTAAAATATATTTTTGTTAAAGTCATCCCTACAGAAAAAAATTATTTTAAAAATAGTCCCTAAACATAATTAATTAGCACTTCTAATTAGATGATGAGTAAACACATTTATTTCAATCTTAATGTATTAGTTTTGCATTCCTAATTACGTTCGATGCAATTTTCAAGTCCTTAATTGTGTACTTATTCATAATTTCATACTACACATGTTCATTAGTTCTCAAATTTCTTACGAATATAATATAATAAAAAATTTAGAAATTGAAAATGTAATTTGATATAGGGTACAATTTTTGGCATGAAAATTGTGTGTGAAGTAATACATGTGTTATGTCAACAAATTAAAAATTTTAATTACGTTTATGGATCATTATCAAAATAAAAAAATTGTCCAAGGATGATTTAAATAAATATTTTACACGGACAAACAACAAAACCCACCTATTTTAGAGAGAACAATACAATAATAATGGTAATAATAACAACGGAGTAATAGTAAAAGAAATCTCTCCGAATGAGAGAAAATAGCACTGTGGTGTAAAAGTACGTGTTGATATCGTTATTTCTTAATGACAAACATTTGAAAGCACAGATAGTAAGGCTATGTGCTATGCGGCTTCACTACCTCCCTCAAGCCCCCTTCACGCTTACACACGGCGCCGACTTCAAGTGAGTCGGTCACCCTGCTCACATTTGTTGCCCCTCCCTTCCGTTCTATATTTTTTAATGAATATCTTAACCAATCAAAAATTAGTTAAATATTTGGGTTGGGGCGGGGTGGGGGGGTGTGTTCGACCCCGGGTGTAAATCTCAATTTGTAATGAAATTGAGGAGAGAGGAAGCATATAATTAGTTAAATATTTGGCGCGTAAAGCAAAATAGACATGTAACTCAAGATTTGTATCTCATTCGTACACCAAAGATATACGGCAACATTTTGATGGTTCACACTGACACAATGTGTTGGTGCGTTAACAAAAATTTACGCTGACACAAAGTGTTGGTGCGTTAACAAAAATTAACATTACAACCAACACAAAATGTTAGTACATTCCTGCAGTGTACAAAATGGAATACAAATTCTTGGAATACAAACAATACGGGAATATCATTTAAATAAATACTCCGTATGGAAGGAGTAATTATTTTACATTATCCAAGAGAAAGAGAGAGAGAGAGAGGGATAAGAGGAGGGGGTGAAGTGTGAAGGAGATCGAGGCATACAGTCAGTGTGTGTGTACAGTCTGCCCTTTTCGCCACTGTTTTAACGTTGAATTACTGTCTTCTTTTGCTTCAAAAGAATCACACACTCCCAGTTTACTACTCCTCCTCGGCTTCCACCCTCCCACCCACTTTCTTTATACGAAGTATTAAAAAAAAAAGCAAGGCTAGGGATACACTTTTTAGGGATACACTAAGGGACTGTTTGGCAACTTCTGAATCGGTAAGTGCTGAATCAGTAAGAGGTCTGAATCATTAAGTGCTGAATCAGTAAGAGGTCTGAACCATTAAGAGCTAGTATATTGCTTAACTATTCAGAGGCAAATGTCTGATCAATTCAGATAAGAGGTCTTAACCATTCAGACTCTGTATAATACTTAATCATTCAGAGGCAAATCTCTTAACCATTCAGACATCTGAACCATTAAGAGGCTGAAACAAACAGTCTGAACCATTAAGTGCTGAACCATTCAGACATCTGAACCATTAAGAGGCTGAAACAAACAGCCCCTAAAAGTGTACCCCAAATGTACATCATCCCCTTTACCACCATCTATTTTAATTTGATTTTTATTTATTTATTTATTTTTGATTTTCTTGCCCAATTATGTAGACAATGAGGGAGTGATGGACAAATGGGATACACCTTTGGTAAAGGTGTACCCCTAACATTTTTCAAAAAAAAAAAAAAAAAAGAAAATTTACCCCATGGTAGCTAACAGTGAGTCTTGTTTTTTGTAATAATTCCTTATAAGCAGCATGCAGGTCACAATGTCTCTTATAACCAGATTAAAGTTAAATCATGATTTAACCTATCACGATTTTATTGGGCCAGTGTGTGGGTGTCCACGGCGGGCTTTCCACTTTTTTTTAAGAAAAAAAGTTAGTTGTGCCAATTAAGGAGGTAATCGAGTTTATTTTCTACTAATAATTACTCTAAGAAACAATTATGTTAAGCATAAGACATTTACAAGTATCACGTGCATGCTACACTATTTATCACCAATATACGATTAAAATCTAATTTAACTTTTCTACTGTCTTGTCGGGTTTGATGAAGGGTTTGTGAATGAGGCTTATCCTATAAAAAAAATAGTAGTCCAAACTTCACTATCAATCAATCTTGACAATACGGTAATAAGGAGTAGGTTAATTAGGGAAAACTAACTTGAGTTATAATTTCATTCTGAAAGCATGGTCATTTTTTGCAGTTGTCACAATTGGAACCTAGATTAATGTGTTGCTGTCCTCACAATTGGTCATATTTTATGTCTTCCTTAATCCTTACTACCTTCTGTTGAGGAAAAAATATCATTCATTCATTCACTTACAATCTCAGTGTTGTTTGCATTATTCAAATTATGCTTACTTTATATGAATGTTAGCGCATAGAAGATTACCACCTGTTAATTTAACTTCATTGTACATTATTGTTTGTGAATTCTATTAGATTATTGTATAAGAAAGTTAGCACAAAAGCTTATTATTTTACTATAGAAATTCATAGTAGATTATCTCTTCCATTGATTACATATATGTCTTTGAATTATTAAATGTTTATTTTATGTGAATGTTACAAAATAGAAGATTACCGGCTGTAAATTGAACTTCATAGTAGATTATTGTCGGTAAATTTAAGTATATTGTCTATGAAAGATCATACTAGATTGTGCTCTATAATGGGTGTTAAAGTAGTACTAATGGTCCTCCCTATAATCTTTTAGGGAGGATGTCTTTCTTTATCCCTGTTACAACTCATTTTGGAGCACAATATTATATTCTGTTTGTTCTGACACACGGAAAGCCAACATTCAAAAGAAACTCAGTCTTACCCAATAAGCAGAGTTTTAAAAGACTCCGGTTGGACATTTCATGAGGCTTAAGAAGCTTCAGTTTTTCAGGGCAGGTCATGCACCGCATGCTTCTCCTCTTTGTAGACGATCAACAAGATGATGAATTTTGAATCCTGCAAAATGGTGAAATTCACTTTCGATGATTGGTGTAGTATAAATAGAATGCAAAATTTTAAAAAGTTCCATACATTTGAAGACAAGGATCTTGGAGAATATTCTTCATCCTTATGTCACACATTCCTGGGTGGTGAGGAGATGAAGGGCACGTTCAAATATCTACGTGCCTAATATGTTGCAACGGAGAATACCACCGATTCAATGAAAATGAAAAATGCATGCAAGTCGTTGATTAACTTGATTTCATTCAATTCAAATTTTAAAAACAGGTTATAAACATCTATTTATAAATGTATGTTAACATATACATTTAGTCTTAGTAGATGGATTTTTAAGCACAAAACTTATCCCAAGTACAAAATAAACAGGAATCCAAATTAAACTAAATAGATTATATTTTTCCTTGTTTTCTCATTTGATTATTGTATTCAAAAGACAATTCCCAAACCACTTAGAGCATCTCCAATCATGCTTAGCTTGTTAAACATAGCTTGCTAAAATTATTTATTAACATGTGAATAGTGGTATAGCAAGTCATTTCCATGATCATCTCCAACCTTTGCTTGCTATAATTTAGTAAAAATGTATTGATTTCACAATTAGAGTACATTATTTATTATAATTTTAAAATTTTATTATAAAAATTAATTAATATTCTACAAGTATGCAATTTAAGCTTAAAATAAAATAAATTTTATAATTTTTTTTGGTAAAAAATAAAATAATTATTTTTTTGTAAAAAACATAAAATAATATTTATTAATTTTTCTTGCGTTGTGGTACTGAAAGTGAGGGAACAAATGCATCATGGTTCATGAAAAAACTAACCCAACCAACATTTTTCTTCTTCTTTTTAGCTTGCTATATTTTATCAAGTTTGTTATTAGTAGCAAGCCATTTTCATATTTAAGCAAGCTTGTCAAACATTAGCAAGCCTCTTGGAGTATGAAATTTTGCTTAGTTTGTCAAATAGTAGCATATAGCAAGTCATTTTAACATGGTTTAAGATGCTCTTAGAGCCCCACCTATCGGCCTAACAAGCGTGAAGGATTAAAAGCAACTTCAATGAGGATGCTTATTAAGTTAATCAACTTAATTAAACAACTGCATCTTTCACAAATTCCCATAAGAAATGATGAGCCCAATCACTGAAGGTTCCTTTAGATCCGGTCGAACGGTTCTTGAAAGGAGGTAAAATAAACTTTAATCGCAGATTGGTAACAAAAAATTGAGCCTGCATGTGGTACTTGCAGAGACCCTAATGTCTTTAACACTAGGTACTAACCTATAATCAAATTGAAGACGAAAACGAGTATAAAAATTTAGATCCTAGACTTAACAACCGCCTTCAACACCTTTAACACTAGGCACTAAAAAAAAAAAGCCCGCATGGGTAGCTCAGTTGGTCAAGAGCGTGAAAGCTTTCAGTTGGTCAAGAGCGTGAAAGCTTGGAACAATGACCAGGGATCGAGTCCCGCAAGCGGCAGTGTGGGAGCTATCCAAAAATTCCATAAAGGTGAGGAGGCTCCTTGTGCGCAGTGGGCACGGGTCTAGCGTTCTTGGCTGACTGAGTCACCATGATTTACTTCATCTACCATTCCTGTCGGGCAAGAGGTGGGGGCGCCTGGGGTGGGCGATTCCACCTTTTTGGAACAACTAAAAGAAAAAAAAACATATTTCAAGCAATTAATTAATACGAGTATTAAAAAAATGGATGAAAAAGAACGTGGGAAAAAAATCTCTACCCTGGGGTTTCCTTACAGGCAACTGCAAGTGGTCTAGGAGGCGTCTAGCTTGCTTTTTTGCCTTTATATACAAATATTCAAATAATAAAAAAAAAACAATCTCACAAAAAATTCATTAAAATAATCTCAATCAGAATCCCACAGCACACTTCTTTTACACTTCTTTTATTCTGCATTTCATTTTATTCATTCATTCATTTGTTTATTAATTTATTCTCAACTATGATGATTAACCAACACCTTGTCTAGCCCTCAGTCCTCCTCCGCCCGCCGGCACCGCCACCTCTCCGCCACCGTAACACTTTCCCTCCTCTAGGGTTTCATATTGATCCTCGATTTAGGGTTTTTTTGGGCGGCCAAAATGGAGAATTACAATAACCATCTAGGAGATCACGAGGAGGCCGCCGCCGCCGTCCACAGAAGCGGCGGCACCAACAGCTTCCTCTACTGCGGCTCCGTTCTCGCTCCTCCCAGCTACGGCAGAACCGCCGCCGCCGACTTCCACCCGCAACCCTACGACGGCCCCGCCGTGAAGACGGAAGGCGGGAGCAGCGTAAAGGCGAAGATCATTTCCCACCCCCACTACTCCAACCTCTTGGAAGCTTACATGGAGTGCCAAAAAGTCGGCGCTCCGCCGGATGTGGCGGCGCGTCTCTCCGCCGCCCGGCAAGACTTTGAGTCCCGCCAACGCGCCTCCGTACTCGGAGGCGGCGGCAGCTGCGGGCATGAAAAAGACCCCGAACTCGACCGGTTCATGGTAGAATATAAAAAACATCCTGAGCTTATAATTTTATTTTCAAGCTCGAGTTTTTGGTTGAATTGATTTGTTTTTGATTTGGTTTTTTATTTGGTCGCAGGAAGCTTACTATGATATGTTGGTGAAGTACAGGGAAGAGCTGACGAGGCCATTACAAGAAGCAATGGAATTCATGCGACGGATCGAATCGCAGCTAAATATGCTAAGCAACGCACCAGTTCGGGTCTTCAATCATTCTGGTAATTATTTAAATTGTTGTTCTTTGAAATTCATTATTTAATCAGTTTGATTTCTTTCTTTTGATTAAAATAATGATAAATAAAAAAGAAAACAATTGTGGTAATTTCCAAGGAAGGAAAGAAAACAAGTTGGAATAAAAATGTGAACAGGGTTTGGTTTTTCCATTCTGGAGCAGTGCAAAGCAGGGGGTTCACTGTTCATTCATTCAATACATTTCTCAATTCCCAAAGCAGTTTCTTCTTGCTCCACTGTTCCCAGACGCCTGTTTTTCTTTGGTTTTCCTCTTTTTTTTTCCTTGTTTTTTCAGTGCAAGCATTTTTTGTGGGATTTTTTGGTCAATTCTTTTTCCTTGTTTGGAAGACAATTTTTTATTCTCACTAGATTCATAGAAAACAGGGAAGAAAAATGGTATTCCATCCCCTCATTCTTTGAAAATGTGTTATGGAAGGAGATATGGTTTGACTCTAAATAATAATTACTCCCTCCGTCCCTAATTTGATTACAATTTTTTTTTTCTCTTCTCTCGATAACTTTTGTTTGTTTACGCGATTTCATAAAATAAAATATTTTTGTCACCTCTTGTTTTGTAAAACTTTTGACGTAGTTTTTTAATATATAATTTTTATTTCTTATCGATATATATGTAAATAAAATAATTTTTAAAAGTGATATATTTCTCCTCGTAAATCTCAATTTGTAATCAAGTTGAGTACGGAGCAAATAATAATAATGGAAACAGTGCTAAAGAAAATAATGTGAAATGTTTAAACTTATTTTTTCTATTAATATTATGCGTAATTAGTAATCAAATTTCATCTAGTTTATTTGAAGAGATTTGAACCTTCTCGCATTTTTCATAAGCTGAAATTGGCATCTTTTATTTTTTTAAAGAGCGCATTCATCATTGATGTTTATATACTGAGGTCTAAACTTGAGTTAAACCAACGAATATAATATATGTGGTAATAATATATGGATACATTTACGCCCCGTTTGGTACAAGGAATTCAAATTATGGAATTGGAATTGAGGACTTCAATTCCAATTCTGGTGTTTGGTATCAGAAATATTATATGGATTTGGAATTGATAGTGCAAAAAATAAATTGAAATTGGTGAATTTAATTTTATAGAATTGAATCTCATGGAATCCCAATTCCAATTCAATTCCAATTCTACCAATTCCGTATACCAAACGGACCCTTAGTGACTTGCTATTCTTGTCTATTTAAAAAAATTGTACCATTGCCAAGGAGGACTCATTTTGTGGAAAAAGGAGCTCATTTTTTTAAACAATATTTAAATTTTACGAGTATTTTTTTACCATTTTACTGAACTGTATATATTCTTAAAATTGCTAGTGCTAGTCAAATGTGGTCCTAAAAACTTAACGGCAAAGAGTATAGTATGGTATTTTGATGGTATCTCATAACATCTGACTTAGACTTTTTTTTATCCATGAACAAATGAACTACTCCGTAATATACACTTTGTATTATTCTGGAATTTGTCCATTTTTAGTGTCCCAAGTATTTATTGTGGTTTTGGATAAAAAACATTTATTGCACCAATAAATGCCTCTTTATGCTAAAACAGGTACGAAAATGTAATGAATCCACCCTCATACCCAAATTAAACTTGTCACTACCTCCCTCACGCCTCCTTCCTGCTATAGCACCGCGTCGGATAAATATTAAAGGGGCGTTGCCCCTCTGCCAGTGACCACCGTCACGGGCGTTGACCCTCTTTGCCCCCCCACCCATTTTTTTTTATTATATTTCAACATATTAAAATTTAACACATTCACCTTTCATCACATTCCTTCACACACAACATAACAAAATTTTCATCACTCTACATCATACATTTTTACACCTCCTCAAGTCCAGTCAAGCCTGCCATAACACATGACCTTATTAGCATAAAGTCATAAACCAAAAGTACATTTGGATGAGCAATTTCCCCATTTTTTTTCTCATTCTGTCCCACTGATTTTTTCCTTGTTAATTACCATCTTACTGTTTTTGCTCAACACCAAACGAAGTACTTGGTATTTGGTAACCTGTCATAGTGTCATATTATGACACCAAAAAGTAAGGTTTATGGGGTGATTTAGGAGGGTAAGGCCTGGTTCGGTTTCCAATGAAACAAAGTAAGATCCTAGTGTCATATTATGACATAAAAAAAGAAGGGGCCATGTTATATTCCCATAAACTTTGACACAATAATTTGATAGCATGTATTTCATAGACATATATGAACAATCATAGTCTAAATCGCACAAACATTGATTATTGCATATTTGTGAAACACATTATGTCAAAGTTTGTTGTCAAAGATTGGTGTGACTATAGATTTATCCGGAAACAAGTGTTGGAATGTGTATATCTCATACCATATTTGGTCATATTTGAAAGTTCTATTGTTCAGCGTAGCGCAATAAGCCTTCCCTTGTATATGTAAAGAGAAAGAATAACGAACATAAGACCAAAATCTACAAAACTGGAATAAGAATAGGAAAACTAAATTAGGGTGGGGTTCCCATGACATTGGGTTCCAATGTCATGGGAACCTTGGTGACTAAATTATTACAAATAACTGTAAGTAATAATAAGTATTCCTTAATAACTCCAATGCCTACTAAATTTGAAGGTGCAATTGAGGGGGATTAGGGGTTGGTTGAGGTCAAGCCTGGGTGAGGGGTTTAATGGGGGTAGAGAGGTAGGAAGCGTCAATTTTATGAACAGGACAGTGTCGTGCCTAATCGAGCCAATGTCATATTATGACATTTGGTTCTTTTGACAAAAGAAGCAAACTCTTATATGTGTGGTTGGTCATATTTATTTTTATTTCATATTAGAGACTACTTTTTAACATCAATATCAATCACACAATCTTACTTTAATCCTTGTCCTAAAAATATTCGAAGGGATAGGTACTTGGGAGAGCGAGTAAAATAACTTCACGTGAAGAATAACAACATAACGTTAGTAGAACACGAAAACTCTCTTGGTAGTAGGAAGTCCACTCCCTCAGATTAACTGGGAAGTTCACCTAAATTCGAGTTCTAATGGAAGTCATTGACTCATTGTTCGTCATTAGATTGAAAAAAGTATGAACAGATAGTTAATTGTAATTAAATCAACAACACTTAAAAGACAAAGCGTGTTAATAATTACTATAGGTTGGTGTTACGTGCGTAAGAACAGGTTGTTGTGACTTGTTAGACTTGTAGAGTTATTACTCCCTCCGTTTAGAAAAAGTGTTCCTATTTTGACTTTGTGTAAAAATAAGGAAGTATTAAATTGTAGTTGACTTCCAATTTTGCCCTTGAGATGATAGGTAAAAGTAAGATGTGATGGATAGATTATTAGAGATAAAATATGATGTGATAGGTAATGTATGAAAAAGTAAGGGTAAAAGTGGTTTTTTAATAGAAAGTGGAAGTGTTTTGTTGGAAGTAAAAAAAATGAAAGAGGAAGTGTTTTAAAAAACGGAGTATTAATTATCAATAGGCCTTTTGAAAATAAAACAGCTTTGGATGCTGTTCACATCTGTGGTTCCAGTACCACATGTACGTAGCATGTGTCCTAAGCTGTCGCATTTTTTACTAGACTGGATTTTTATATTCCAAATTTGCACTATTTAGCTTTTGGTTTTTGGACCCGTTAACTCCTCTATTCATAACTTTGTGCTCCCCCTTTTTTCGCATTTATTGCCTACTTTTCTGACCCAAAATGTATCTCGGCATGGGTCATGCTACGGTGCTACCACATTCGTGCCAACATGAGTGCACTCATGCTTCGCAAACACAAACACACACGTTAATTGTCTGTGCGACACAAATGATTATTGTTTGTGTTTGTCTGTGCGAAGCATATGGTAGCACTCATGTGGTGACACCCTAACATTATTCATGTCCGCAAATCACCCTACTAAGTTTAGTTTTAGTGTTTACTACATAGTCATGCTAGAAACACACCATGGTTGACACCACCGTTGATAATTTTCTACGAATTTGAAGATATATGGACGATAATTGTTTGTGAGCTTTGTAATTTCACAAACGATTATCATCGGTGTGTACACATTCATATACGTTGTCATCTATGGTGTTACCCTAGCACTATTGTCTAGTATATAGTCATGCTGTAATTTTTTTTAAAATGTACAGATGAGAAATGTGAGGGCGTCGGCTCATCCGAAGAGGACCAAGACAACAACAGCCCGGGCGAGACCGAGCTGCCCGAAATCGATCCACGGGCAGAGGACCGCGAGCTGAAGAACCACTTGTTGAGGAAGTACAGCGGCTATCTGAGCAGTCTGAAGCAAGAACTCTCCAAGAAGAAGAAGAAAGGGAAACTACCCAAAGAAGCGCGCCAAAAGCTGCTCAGTTGGTGGGAGTTGCACTACAAATGGCCCTATCCTTCAGTACGTTTCTTCGCCACTGAAGTCTAATAAACCAACTCAACCAAAAACTCAAGCTTATTTACCGGTTACCATTGACCGTTTTGCCCTTTTCTTTTTTGTGTAAGGAAACGGAGAAGGTGGCGTTGGCCGAGTCAACGGGTTTGGATCAAAAGCAGATAAACAACTGGTTCATCAACCAAAGGAAGCGGCATTGGAAGCCGTCAGAAGACATGCAGTTCATGGTGATGGATGGTCTTCACCCACAGGGCGCGGCCCTCTATATGGACACGCACTACATGGGTGAAGGCCCGTACCATCGACTCGGTCCATGACAAAAAAAATGCCGTGCCGTTGGCCTAATTAAGAGGTAAAAACTTATTTTAGGGAGTCTATTTGTTTTGAGAATGACATGAAATTGTTACAATGAGGAGATGAATATTTATATATATTCTGGGTTTGTCATTCCCTTTCTCCTCCATGAAGTGAGTGTGAAGAAGATTAGGGTGTTTTGATTTATTTAGAACTAAACTAATGCAAATTGTATATGGTTAAAGACTAATTGTGATTCAAGTAAATAATTTCGTTTACCGCTATGATCTGATTTATATAATTCTTGGTTTAAAAACGGTGTTATGTTTTATCTTTCATTTTTACACAAAATAATCAAAATACACTACTGTATTGGCATGTCCCCAAAAAGACTCGTGATTTTATTTTTTCTAGTTCTGCCTGTTAGAATATAAATGACTATTCCTGGGCCACAACCATAAGCTTAAGCTTTTGGTTGAGTTGGTTCTTTGACATGGTATCAGAGCCTCGTTGACTAATAGGTCACGAGTTCGAAACTCAGCGCCACCCAATTTTAAAAAATTAAGGTTTCACGTGCAAGGCTCGAAAAAGATTACGCCTGCACGTGAGGGGGCGTGTTAGAATATACTCCCTCCGTCCGGAAATATTCTTCCCACTTTCTTTTTTGGTCCGTCCGGAAATATTCTTCCCATTTCCTTTTTAGAAATCACCCCTAATAGGACTAAAACATTGTGCTTATCCCTAAAATAGGAGTTCATGTTTTTTATCCCCCAAATAGGACCTCTCCCGCCACATTCTTTCTTTCTCTCCCGATTTTGCCCTCTTTTTCCTTTCCGTGTCACAATTCACAATCTGTCCCGTCTACATTACAACTCTTTGTAATACACATTACCACATTACATACTGTGGCACTTTACATTACAATGGTTCGTAATATTCATCACCACATTACAAATTATGACACTGGTAATATCCACATTACATACTTTGTTGGACTATCATGAATTTTTTTAATTGCATATTAACCATTGCATATTTTTATTTTTTTGTTATGCATTTAAAGTCAACATGTCCATATGAGTTTAAAGGACAAAACATGGACATGTTGTGAATTCTAATTGGATCAATTTATTTGCGTTCATGCGGTGGCTGCTGTTAGGAGACATCCCGGCTTAT